AACAACTTAGCTTTTCGTTTCTATAAAGTCTTTTTACCTTTAATTGTTAGTGAGTTTTCTACCTCCTGAAACTATTACCTAATATCTTCAGGAACCAGGATGATGAAACTGGCATCTTTTCCCCTGATTAATATAAATTTAAAAATTTATATTTACATATTTAACCTCCTGCATCTGGATGCTTTATTATAGTTGGAACTTTAACGTATGATTGCCTTGTTTAGGCAGTCNTGCTGATTCTTTGCCTAGATGATCTGTCCAATATTGACAGTGGGTGTTCAGGTCCCCTGCTTTTATGGTATTAGTGTCTATTTCCTTCTTTAGGTCTAGTAGAGCTTGTTTTTTAAATCTGGCTGGTCCAACATTGGGTGCGTATATATTTATGACTGTTATGTCTTCTTGATTGATCAGTCCTTTTATCATTATGTAGTGTCCCTCATTGTCTCTTTTTATGGTTTTTAGTTTAAAATCTATTTTATCAGATATAAGAATAGCTACTCCAGCTCGTTTTTCTTTTCTGTTTTCATGGTCAATCTTTTTCCATCCTTTCACTCTTAGTCTATGTGTGTCTTTATGGGTGAGGTGGGTCTCTTGAAGGCAGCATATAGTTGGGCCCTCGTTTTTAATCCAGTCAGCCAGTCTGTGTCTTTTGATTGGGGAATTTAAGCCTTTTACATTAAGAGTTGTTATTGAGAAGTGTTGACTTATTCCTAGCATTTTATTGATTATTGTTTGGTTGTCTTAGGTGTCTTTTGTTCCTTGCTTTCTGATTTACTATTTGTTTTCTGTATTTGTTGGTTTCTTGGGGTGTAGATAGCCTTTTTGTTTGTTTGTTTTTTCTTCATGAGTGCCATTTTTATTATACTAGTAGGTTTTGATTTTTCTTGGGTCTTTATGGCAGTGGTAGTTATTTTTCAGGAACCAAACCCAGTACTCTCTTGAGAATTTCTTGTAAGGGTGGTCGTGTGGTGGTGAACTACCGCAGTTTTTGTTTGTCTGAGAAATATACTATTTTCCCTTCATTTCGGAAGGATAGACTTGCAGGGTAGAGTATTCTTGGCTGACAATCTCTGTCTTTTAGTATTTTGAATATATCATCCCATTCCTTTCTGGCTTTTAGGGTTTGTGATGAAAAGTCTGATGTTAG